TCCCCAGCTGGCTGGGGAATTCTGGGAGTTGAAGTCCACCCATCTTAAAGTCGCTGAGGTTGAGGAACCCTGCTATAGAAGATCACAGCAACAAAATTGTGACTGCCTTAGTCCAAATGAGCCTCCCTGTATGATCCAGGGACCCTAAAGAAACAGGCATTTTCTGGCACGAAAACAAGTATTGGAAAAGGCTCACTGACGACATTTCGACGAGCGAGGCGTCTGTCCCAACGGGCAGGAGCAGAGAGAGGTAAACCCAATGCAGCCAACCCTCTCTCTCAAGCCTGAAACCAGGAACCAGGCAATCAGAAATGGGGGGAACTATTCAGCCGAGCCTCTCCAGGAGTGACCGCATTCATCCGAGAGATGCAGCTGCGGAAAAGAACGCGTGTTTTGCAGAATCAAGCTGCAAAATTACACTGGGTAGAAGATACCTTCAGGAAGCACCACAAGATCTAACGAAACAGCAGCCACCCCTCTGCCCCAACAGCTTGATCTATAATATTTCAAAGAAGACCTCTAGAATTTTTACGGAAAATAGTCTTTTACCCAGGATTGCTCTTTGCAATCTTTGCCATCGTTGGTGGTTCTGATTCTATCCACTTTCCCGATCCCGGACCCATTTACAAAGACAAGGCTTGCCCCCTCTCTTGATTCTTTCCAACCCTCTCCTACAACCTGCCAGAAAATATCACCGAATGCTGAATTGTTGCTAAGTAGACAACCCACCGTCACAGCTTCTCTTCCGTTCATAGCGTCTCCTTGTTCTGCTGAAATCAAAGGGTGCTTTGAGCAACGCTGGGAGTGGGGCCATCGTGTTTATCCCTTTATGGGAAACCAGCCCATGGACAGAAAGGGTGACTTGTGCCTTTGAACTGACAAAGGCACGAAGAAAGGCTTCTAGGAATAAATTGGCCACCGATCCATGATTAAAAGAATTTCCGCATGGCGCTTGTTTACCTTAAACAGCAGGGTTTAGAAATCAAGAAGCCGACTTCTGCCTTTCCCCGAAAAAGCATCTTGAAAGAAAACCCTGGTGGATGATATAAAACCCCTTCATGCGGGGATTCGGCATCACTGGACTGATCAAAGCAGGTCTACTTTTTCTAGAGAGAAAACCACTCCCTTTCTGAGACTTCTTGGGCCTTCCTGAAGCCCTAAGATTCGATTTCCCAGGGAGGAATGCTGCAAAGTTTGGGGTGTGGGGCTAAGAAGTTTGGAAAGACTCCAGCTGGAGGTCAACATCCACGTTAGAGGAAATCCTCATGAAGGCCAAGCCAGGCTGGAAGCAGAAGATCTGCATCCTGGGGACAGTGGTTCACGGCATATTAAAAGAAGCCCCAGGAAGACTTCAGATCAAGGTGCAGCCCTAGAAATCAATGAACAAGACAAACATCGCCAACCCGTCTCCAATTTTTAAAAATGTTAGCAAGAGATGTGGGTCAGCTCCCATCACCATATTCTTTGTTTACCACATTTCCTAGCAGAGAAATGTGGGGGCAAAGAATGTTCCTTTTATCCAGAAGCCATGCTATGGTTATTCTTTTTGCTTTTCTGCCTCTGTTTGATTTTTAGTTGATTTATCGTTGCCTCTTCCCTACAAGGCCCATTTTGATCACACTTCTCCAAGCACTGAGGGAAGAAGAGGGAGAGGAGGAGGAAATCAAGGAACAAGAAGGATGAATATTTCCCCATATTGGGCTTAGCCCCATATACTCTTCCAGAAGGCACAAAAATGAAATCGATTTCCTGTTTCTAAGAGCAGATGAAGCCCTGTGACTTTACCAGTTTATTCCTGGGCTTTTAGCCTTTTCACAAATTTTAATTCCAAGCAAAGAGATGTTTTTCCACAGCAAAAAAGGTTCTCCTTTGTTTTCCACAACAGTCTGCTCCTGAAACAGACACCACCCTTGTCTTATAACTCCTCTTTTCGCCCGCTCTGCTCATGACTATCTTCATAGTAACTCCATAGTAACATGTAGGATTTTATTTGCTGATAGCTCCTGAGCTCATCAGGTTTTATTTTTGTTTTTCAAATCTCTCTTTGAGAATATTCTGGGGGAAACAAACCTCATTAAAAGCATAGACACCCAGGGCACATTTTTACTGTTTTAAAAAAGGCAAAACGCATAGAGGTCCCAGAGAAAAAGGTAAGGGGAGGGGACATCATGTTGCTCCCATGTAGTGATATGCTAGCTAAGTACAGAATTGACCTGGAATTGTGAGTTCCACGTTGTGCTGGCCACCCGTCCACGCACTGCAGGGTGACCTGTGCAAAGTCAGCTTTCAGAGATTCCTATTAAAATGTCTTTCAGTAGGACATGTGGCAGATTCATTCTCGCTCATCTCAGTCCTGGTCAGCTCTGGGCTAAAGTGTGGTAGTGTTTTCTCTTCTCCGTGACAAGTTTGTTTGATTTCGAGCTTGACCTACCTTGTTCCTTCTGCTGATCTTTCTGTTCCATTGACACAAGGGCAGAGAAATGTGCTTGGTCATAGGCGAGGACGAGAGGTGAGCAATGGCATCGGTTGGGCATGACTTCCAAAGGCAGGTAAATTCCACCAAAGGGGATGGGTGCAAACGCTGCGAAAAACAAGCGAGAAGATTTTGCACTGAAGAAAAGCAATGGGCGTGGACCTGAGGGTTTTCTTTTTAAGGCAGTTGTAGAAGGTTTCATTCCTTTCGTATCAGTGGCAGATGCCAATCAACTAATAGTGAAACAATCAAGCAAACAAAAAATCCAGAATACTCTCCGTATATCAGAATTAAAGACTTCAAAATGCAACGTAGGGACTCCAGAAACATCTTCCAGAAGGACACCCCATAGAAACAAAGAAGGAAGAAGGAAGAAGGAAGAAAGAGGAGGGAG